AGGGAATTTCAACAAATAAGATAAAAAAGTGTTTCAGAAACAAATTACCAACCCTACCTTTAAAGCCTGTCTTGGTTCTTAGTGTATCTTGTTTATTGGGCTCTTACTATTGATTTCCACTTCAGCCTCAGTTGGGAAAGTGTACAGGAACAGCCCATTAAAGATGTTTTATTTCTCAAGAAACTGACTCAGATCAGAGGCAAAGATCACAATGAATACACCACCAAACATGTGCTTTAGGATGGAGATTTCCTCTGAGACCTTTGCTCATGGGTCTGATTTATAGCAAATGATAATCACTCTAAACTGGTGGAATTTCAATTAGGAAGATCTTCTTCTATCTTCTAATGTCACCATATGTAACTGATCATCTGTCTGCTTGTGTTCCATTAGTCCATCTGCGTGAATATGTCTTTCAAATAAACTATTGCTCAAAGTTTCGTCTTTATTTGAAGATGTTTCATATTGGTGGAGTCAAAAAAGTATTTCTTTGCTGTTGACAGTTTATGTCAATAATATTTTTCTGTAAATTGTTTTTGAAATGTATGTACTTTGTGCAGAGGGCAACATATTTAATCATTGTGAATATCAGAAATCCAACTTGGGTCCCACACAGGAGATTTTTAAATAAAGCTCAGGAGTTTACGCAGCACACATCTTGAATAAAAGTGTTGAAAAATAACAGAGTTTGCAGCTCATTTGTTTTTCTCAAGCATCTGAGCACCCCCCCCTTTCTTTCTTTCTATTCAGTCTTGGTGATTGCTCCTATCTGAAATGGCTTGAAAGAGTCATAGGTTACAGGCCAAAGGATGAAGGCAGCCAAACAGAATTAATATTCTTTTCACAAATGCTGTGCCACAGTGACTGAAAAAAGCAATCTAAAGCAATTAACCTTCTGTCCTAGACGTGACATGCAGGCAACTTAATTAGGATGTTCTCTGCTTTTAATTACTCTCCATAGTTGCAGAGCCCAACCTAGATTTGAAAAGTTGTCACAAGGTAAAGTCGAGCGGTGTCAGGAACGTGGCCTCTTGAGAGATAACTGAGGTCAGCGCTCACAACAGGAGCCACTGTTTTTCAAGTATGAATCAGTGGAACTCAGTGCAGCCTTTGCAACAGCAATAACAATTCAATTCATGTTGAAATTCAAACTCATTTGAACTCAGTTAATAAGGACGACAAT